AAAGAAGCAAAATCTTGATAGTTTATATTTCGTAGAAAAAGTTTTAATTTTGATCCGACAGTTTTCACAACGTCATTCTTAATCAGCGTTTTGATATATTCAAAACGTCCAGTTTTTAAATTATAACAAACATCTTCGATTTCGGTTCATTTGGCCGATTTCCAATTACAATTGAACTGATTAGTAGTGGTGGAACGAGCGAAAGTGGGAGAAAGGGCGAACTAGCAAAAAGCGTTCGCAATATCCCGAGAGCTCGCAGCTCGCTCCGCGGAACCGCGAATCGCCGAAGCGATTGCGGAATGTGGCCGCGCGTAAATGTGTAATGTACTTTATTATCGTGAACATCGGTGATGTACGATGCGTGTGAATTTCCACAATTTTCACAATGTCCCCGCGGCAGCAACTAATTCCGGCCGGTCCGCCGATTAACCGTGTTTCGGCTCGATTTCGCTCCGATCGATTAAAGTGTTTCGCGATACGGTTATATCTCGGGAATCTATATCAAGCGCGTAATAAAATTGAATTGACTATTAACAAAGCAATATATCACATAAAAAGCGATAAATATATGAGGAAATGTAACCATATGAGGAAATGTAACCATAATGTAGTTTTTGTACGCGGGAATAACCCGATTCTCCTTTCCTTTTCGCGCGAAGGTTCTATTTGACAGCAACTAATTGGTATAGGGGCGAACCTCTCTTCGCTGAATTCAATTTTTATTTTCTAGAAATGGAAAATAAAATAAAAATCTCTCAACTAGAGCGCGGAAAATAGAATGAGAGCTGCGGATATATCGCGACGGATTTCTACAGTAGATTTTACAATATTTGTCAAGCAAACATTAATTTAAAATATCTATCAAATTGCATTTCTAAGGTATGCTGCTGTATTCGTACCGTATTCTGTTCGTACCGTTTTCGCTGTATTCTTTTCATATATCTTAATAAAATAATATAATATAATAAATAATTATTTCTTTCTTTAAATTCTTGCATTTCATCAAAGTTGTAACATTGTGATCAATATTAAGTGAAAATAGATCAAGAAATGTTTATTATAAATGAGTGGAAAGAATCAGATTGGGTTAAGGCGAGTTTCATAATATTTTGTGTGAATTTTTTACAATTTTCAATTCAATTAAACTACGCGCTGATTGTTGATCAGTCTTGAAATACACTCTTAAGATTGCAGAAGATAAAGTACATATAATATCATTAATTAAATTGACAAGCAATTTAATAATTTTGATGTTAATAATCATCTTTAAAGTACTAAAAATAATTTATTGCAAAAATATCACCTCAGTCAAGATTCGAACCTGAATCTCTCGAATTCCGTGCAAGAGTTCACAAATTAAATTGACCAAGGAATGTAATATTGTTGATGCTAATAAACTTAAAGATGCTTAATAGAATCAATAATATTAAATTGTGCTTGTCAATTTAATTTGTGTTATTACGTACTGCAATTTCAGTCTCAGATTGTAGACGTTTATTAACTAGGACACAGTATAACAACATCATTTCATCTTTATTTAATGACAAACAAATAATGATTCACTGTGTTGTACCGTTCTGGAAAACGCCATGTGTTTCAAGATCGACAAACAATCAGCAGGATCTGTGAAATTAACATGACATTCTATTAATCTATTAATATAAAAAAGAATAATGACAGTTCCAATAGTACTCTCTCTCTTTTCATAGTTCTATATAAAAATAAAAAAAAGTTTTGCATTTTTTTATATTAAAAAACCAAAAACGGAAATATAATGCTAACTTCGCGAATTTAGCACGGCACTTTTTTCTCTAAAATGCAAGAAAAAACGATAAATATTACCGCTTTTGGCAACAGTTCCAACAGTTCCCGTTAGTTCTATCCAAGTTTTACAATACACGTTTGAAAACGAAGTTCCAACAATTATCAATTTTTATACATCATATTTCAAATAGAAGACAGAACGACACTTGGAGGAAAAAGTCGTACCGGCTATTTTCAGCAATTCTAGCAACAGTTCTTGTCAGTTTTAACTAAGTTCTAGGTCCTACAATTTTTAAATAGAATTCCGGCCGCTATATATTTTTAATTAATTTTTTAATTTACGGGTCCAATACTTTTTCTCCAAGTGTTGTACTGAACCCGTAAATTAAAAAATTAATTAAAAATATATAGTGGCTGGCCTCTGTTTAAAAATGATTGTAGGGCTTAGAACTTTGATTGACTGATTGATTGATTAAGCATTTTAATTTTAGGGTTAACTCTCTAAGAAATGTAGGTACAACTTGTAGAATCATCCAAGATACGCGATATTATACAATGCAATTTAAAAAACAGCAGTAACAGTAAAAATGGAGATAGTTAAAAATAAAAATAATATTAACAAAGAAATAATAAAAACAGTAAGAAAATTAAAAATAAAATAAAACTAAAAATAATACAAAAAAATAATAGAAATAAAAATAAAAGTAAAAATAATATACCTAATAATTCTAAAGAAAGGAAAAGAAAAGCAATGTGACATTTGCTAAATATCTCAGACATTACAAATGAGAAGAGTCTTATATATAACAATATTATTGATAAAATTATTAAGCACAATAATTACGAAGAAAGGATTAGGTCGACTAGCTCACCCCCCGCAACACCAGATGGCAGAAAAGTGCCAAAAAAAGGAAGCAAACTCAGATTTCCTTATCACTTTGGGTAAAGAGTTCCAAAGCGAGGAGGTTGCCTAGACAAAAAAAATGCTGATAAGTTGATATTCTGCAGGTTGGCACTGCAAAACACGGGATGTTGCACGAGATCTCGAGCAGAAATTCAGCTTATCAGCAAGATAAGATGGAGTGACTTAAGGATCAAATATACTAAGCAACCAATTAGGTAATCCCTTCTGTCGTCAGCTAGAGGCAGAGCAGCCAGACGTCTGCCTAACTCATCATAGAAAGAAGAAACACAGTTAAAATCCCTGTGCAAGTTAAAAATAAAACACACGCATGCATTCGTCGTCTGCCTACTCCTTAGTCTCTGTTGATCAGTCAAGTTCGTGAACACTGCTGAGCAGTAGTCATAGTAGCAAGAGTGGAAAGATCAGAAAGGATACAAACCGAACGTTCAGTAGAATCAAGAGGTCATGCTTATGGTACTTTAAGCACCACAAGAATCCATTCACTCTGTGAGAAAGACTCTTACGCATACCAGTTGAAAGTATTGGTGAAGGTGACGCCAAAGTTAATAACTTGACTAGAGAATTCGATTGGAGTACCGTTTAAATTCAGTTCAATGCTATTATTCATCAGGATGTTATTAATGAATCGGAACGATTGACAGAATGGCTTTCGTCTTATTGGCGTTCAAGATCAGAAAATTGCACGATACCCACTGCGCGGCAGCTGAGATGTCCTCTCTTATCAAAGTTAGAGCCTCCTTTTGATCAGCAGATATACATGTAGATCATCGGCGTAGAGGATATGATTGGAGTGCTTGAGCGAATGTCTTAAGTTGTCAATGAATATTGCAAATGATAATGGACCAAGCATCGAACCGGTACTCCAAAGAAGATGGGCATCCAGTTTGAGAGGCCATCGAATCCTCGAACGCATTGGGAACGATTCGTCAGGTACGATCTGACCATTCAAGAACAGGATTGGATATCCGAAACTGAGCGACTTCATGTATCAGCTGCCTGTAGTTGACCGAGTCGAAAGCCTTGGAAAAATCAAACAAATTAAATGGAATTACTATTCTACGATCAATGGCCAATCGCACGTCATCGACAAATTTAATTAGAGTCTGTGTGCTATTGCCACGTCGAAACCGGTCTGAAGAGGATCAAGGAGTTGATGAAGATGAAGGTGAGTAGTGAATTGATTATAGACTATATGCTTTGAGAGAGAGAGAGAGAGAGAGAGAGAGAGAGAGAGAGAGAGAGAGCAAAAGAGAAGCTTAGAATTAACACCTACGATTGTCTCTATTACTACCGAAATTTCGAAATTGTTATATTTTGTGGTAGTTTCTTTAAATAAAAGATTATCTGCGGAGACCTTCTTTATATACAGGATTCCTCTAACTTGACCATTTAAAATATCTCCGTTATTTTTAATAATATAGAAAATACCAAAGGAAAAAGTTGTTCGATTCAAAGGGGCACATATTATGATAAACAAAAATAACCTTTCTCAAGACATATTTCTTGAACTTTCAAGGTCAGTTTGTTTTTTTAAATAGAATTATATGATTTTTTTTACACAATATGATTTCTCTAATTATTCTGAATATAAAAATATTAAGATAATGATATCAAAAACTAATAGTTTACGAGATATTTTATACCTTATTTTGGCATATATGACATAAAGTGTTAAATAACTCGAAAACTATTAATTTTTTATAATCGTACCTTAATACTTTTATGAACAGAATAATGAGATAAATCTGATAAATCAATTGATGAAAAGAAAAGACGTAGTTCCTTATTTAAAAAATTATTCATACTTTTTGAAGCAACTTATTCTGTTCAACGAAAGAATGACCTCGGTTTATGCATAGGTAGCGATAAACCAGTGTTGATAATTAAATAATTAAAAATTATCTAAATATAGATAAGATAAATCACGCAAAAATGTATCCTAGATAAGATAAAGATTAATTTTATCTAGATTAATTTTACATTAATCTAGATTAATTTTACATTAATCTAGATAAAAAATAAAATTTTAAAAAATGTTATCTAGATAATTTTTAAGATAATTTTGTTTTTAAGTAAATTAGGTAGTAAAACGATTTAGGATACAAAAAACGCGATTTCATATTTTTATAAATCTTTATTTTTTAAGATTAAAAGTTCGATTAGACGAAATGTTCGTCTGATAATCGATTTCTACGTGGAATTAATATTTGTTGTCCACAATTAAAAAGGCGCTCTACTGATGCTGATAACAATGATGTGTTATACATAAAAAAAATTTGTTTGACATTTGTGAATACAAATTAAGAATATCTATTTCTTCAGATTTATTTTCTAAATATGAAAGTACTTCAATATTGCTTTGAACGACTGGTGTCACACTAATCTCAGTTTTTTGTCTATATTACGAAAAAAATCCGTGTGCATTTAGGTGGTATATAACTTTATTTAAACATTTTTTACATTAAACCTTTTTATTGATGAAAATCCATTTAAGGGCATTCATTTGATGTCATTTGGATAGTATTTCTACCAAATTTCATGATAATCAGGCGTTGGACGTTTTCGGAAGTTAGTACTACTACTACTATTGGAAGTTAATTGTTTAGTCTGAGAGTAAATTTTTGCAATACAAGTTATCTACTTTAAAAAAAGTTCTTTACATAACTCTATGTTATCTTCTGGCACCCAATTTAATTTAAATTTAGGTAAGTTGATAGCAGATATAATAAATGCTTTACTATCAGGTGATCCAAGATCAAAAATATATTTAATATATAATTTTATAATCGCTTTTAGAAGGTTGAATTCCAACTACAAATGGATTACAATATTAAATGCATAAATTTTGTAAGTTTTTGTTTTAGTATAGTAAAGGTGCTACCAAACCTAAAAAATTTATTTTTTCTCCTTGTAACATGTCAAGACTTGCTAAAAGAGACATAATAAATTCTTCTAAGAATTCAATTTCAATTGGTTTCAATTTTTTGAACTTTAGCTTTTCAAAAAGTGTATTGAGTTATTTTTTATAAACAAGAATTTTCTTTAGCATCGTATTGAGAATTCCATCGCGTAATAACAGCACTGAAAATTTACAATTACATTTCTGAAGACAAATATCAGATGCAACTGTACTATGACTAAACAAGTTCCAAAAAGCATTTAACTTTGCAAAAACAGAAAATCAATTTCTTTCAACATAGCATTACTAGATTTATCCAAAATTTTTTTACAATCTTAGCGATAAGTTTTTAATGTTTGGGAACAACATGTTAACTGACGAGATAAAATAATTTCCCAATTCATCTGTAATAGAATTTTCAATGTCATGTTCATTACTATCAATATTTATTAACATTTTTCCAAAATCAATTAATGTTAATTTCAATATCTGAATCCGAATAATCCTCATCATTCAAAATATCTTTATTTATTTGTAGTGTACCCTAATTTTGATTACAGTTTTCAAGTGGTAATACCAAAACATCTAAAAGATTTAGCAAAATTTGTGGCATTATCACTGAGTAACTTTAGATACATTTAAACTGAAATTTGTCAATATGTGATGGATAACTAATGCAATATTTTTGTAAGTATGATTATAAAATATTCTTTTACTATACAAGCTAATGTATAAGACTTTCTTTCAAACGTATCCAAAATAAAGTGGACAGTCATTCCTAAATAACTGTTGCGACACGACCAAATATCAGCATATAAACTTGCTTTTGTAATAATTCTTTCAATTTAGATGTTTTTTGTAATAATTCTTTCAATTTAGATGTTTTTTCTTTGTAGGAGTTATTAATCTTAGTAGACAAAGCACTTTTTCCAGGTAGAATTTTTTCAGGTTTATTGTTTCCTGTTTAATCCACAGATTAAATTTCTGAATGATGCTTTGTAAATCGTGTTTAAAGGATGAATTTCTTCAATGAAGTAAGTTAAAATTAAATTATATATCTGTAATAAAGAAAAGATAAATTATACTCATTCTTTATACTTATAAAAAAGTAATGATAAATAAATAAATTTGTTTTTCCAAACCAAAATATTGCTTTAATTAAATAATTAATTAATTAAATAATGCATTAGTTACTTTAGTGTTACCAAAACTTTAATAAAAATCAGAAAACTCTAATAAAAATCAGAGTATGTTACAAATTAAATAATATTTACCTTCTTCACTGCAATAGACGATTTACTTTGCATCATTAAGATAATACCTTGTTGCCTTATATCTGTTTTACTATACTTCTTCTTTTCTAATCTTTTTAATTTTATTTTTTTGTATTAAGTGAGGATGTATTCTCTGAAAGAAAAGAACAGCAAAGTTAAAAAATGTTTTCTATTTGAAATCGACACGCAAATAAAAATCAAAATTGAAAGATATAAAGAATATATAACTTACATTATAATGACTCTGATAAAGTTTCCTGTAGAAGTTATCGAACCATTTATAGTTTTGGGACAATTTTTATATTGCGCCATTATTTTCTGATTTGTAGAGTTTTTTAATACCTCATAATTTTCCTGTTAGGATAAATGGTAATTTAGAGGTTGAGGCTGAAGACAATATAGAGTTTTCATTGTCGTCCACATTATCATTGACTTTAGTTTTGAGGTTTCCATTCGTTTTATGTTTTAATCTATGAAAATATTTTTTTAAACCACAAGACTCAGTAATAAGAACTAAAAATAATTTTTCACAATACTAAAGTTACTACATAAATTTAAATTAATACATAAAGTTACTACGTAAGTGTAAGCTAATATTAATCTGATGACGTGAATTTACGCAAACAAAGGACGTAGAATAACTTGTAAATCACGCGAACAGTTAAATATTACGCAATATTAAAACAATAGACACTTACTTGGAAACTTTTTTGCAAAATACCGAAAGAGTTTTCTTATGAGCTCGAAACGGACAGTTTCTTGCACTGAATTTAACGATAGGATTAATTGGCGCACACTTTATTATTATAGTGCTTGCGACGAACCGGCTTTTACCCGGCGATATTACGCAACGACAAAGAATAACATAACTGACATGAGCGATTTTATAATATTACATACATAAATAACGACAGAGAGCAATTTTACTAGACGATGACAAAACAAAAGCCTGAAATTGCAAAACGTTCTTTCGAATTCATAAAACTAACGGAAAGCATACCGATAACTGTAGAGCTTAACTTAGAGAGCTTATAATCAGAGAGTCGCCAACTGACACGTGATTCAAATTGCTCGCTGATTGACTCAGAGCCAAGGTGCCAAAAAGGTTAGCGTGATAATAATAGAAAGATGAAAGCCGTAGCTCGTGTCATTGTCATTCCAACCTTTTTGACTTCGAGCCAATCACGAGCGATTCGAGTCACGTGTCAGTTGGCAACTTTCTGATTACAGGCTCTCTAGCTCAACCATCACGAATTGATAACCGCCAGAAGCTGCCTAACGTACAAAACTTGCGCGAACGCGAATGCCGCGAACTTGCGCGGACTTGTAGGTTTAAGGCTCAGTTTGCAAAAAGCTCTTACATTAAGGGAGATTTATATTCAGCCGCTACATATTATAGAAATTTCTTATAATGTGTACTCTTGTACAATCTTAGATAGTTTGAAAAAAATAACATTTCTTTTATCTAAGATAAGATAAAGATAATTTATATTCTTAATAATCTAGATAAAGGTAAGATAAAGCCATTTCTTCATCTAGATGATTAATTAAATAATATTATCGAGATAATGGAAAACACTGGATGTAATGTAACGCTGTGAAGATCTTTGTAAAACAGATAAGTTTTCGTTCGATTCGAGGTCATTCTCTCGTTGAACGGCGTACATGCGTTTTATTTCCATCAATTCCATTTAAAGAAATGGAAGTCTTAACCTTGAAGTCTTAAAAAAATATGACCTTGAGAAAAATTTTTTGCTCATCATAATATGTGCTCTTTCGAATCAAACAACTTTCTCTTTTGATATTTTCTCATATCATTAAAAACAACGGAGATGTTTTAGATAAGTTAGAGGAAATATCCTGTATAATTGGAGATTTCTTTTCAAAACTGGAAGAAAATGTGTAAAGGAAAATGCCACAAAAGAAAAGACGCCATTTTATTTATAGTTTTTTTTTATAAAACGCGCGTTAGTCATACGCGTTGACTGTGCAAAAGCGTGTGATAAAGAATTGCGCAGTCGACAGAGATGAACATGTTCGTGCCAAAGTCGATTGGTAAAGATTATAAAAAGGTAGGTCGCAAAATATGCTCTTTGTAATATTCGGTATGCTAATAGATAAGATCTGTATTTCGATCCTTACTGTAAAACCGAACAAATGATATATGGTTTTAATCAGTGTTCCCTGGAGGTCATGTGGATGACATAGATTATAATTTGTAATATTCATATATGCGTAAAAGTTGCAATTAAATATTCCTCTTACACTTGGGAATAAGATGACAGTAAAATACAAAGCACAATTTTTCCTACTTGAAACTGTCATTAAAACAATTTTATGAATTAAAATTTGGATATTTTATATAATTTTAAGTTAATGAAATACTGTTTAAACAAAAGTATATCCAACTTACTTCCTAAATTACTCTCTTTCATATTTCATCAATTTATATTTTATCATACTTTTATGTGTTATAGTTTAAACCGTTGATTATGGACTATAAATAAATAAAATATGCAAATTTATATTGCATCACATTATTTTATTGTTTGTGACATCTTTTCCCATAAGAAGTGGCATATTATCCATATATACAAGGGGGAGATGCCACTTTTGCAAGGTATGATATCGATTTTTTCCAAAAATACGGAATATTAAATGTTAAATTTGTAAATTTGTGTAATAAGAAAGATCTCTAGAATATAAATATTTTTTCGTAACTTAATTCAATATTATTAAGAAGTTATTCAAGAATAAGCGCTTAAGTGTGGCGTCTTCCCCCCTTCCTCTCTAATCCAACTTATATATAGATATCTTATATAAAGATATAAGAAAGACCGGCGTTATATAAACTTCCATTTATTTAAAAAAAATGTTTTCATCAAAAGAACGATTCGCCAGAGATTCGTTCAAAAAGCCTGAATTCTTCGGTTTCTCCTGAATTCCGGAGACTCTCCGGCCGAAAATCAGAAAGATGGAAATCATTTATGATCTAGTCTCTGGATTGTATTAATTTTCTACAGTTTCTTAGCTTGATAACTAATGAACATAGTATATTCACTTCTTAATCATGGGAGATTCTAAGATGCTGTATCCATATTACATATCGAGAATATGAAACTGCAGATTAATTATTGTTGAGATATCGCTGAAGACGACTCGAAATTAACCTGAATTCAAGTTTTTAAGGACATGCTGAAATGATGCGCGCGCGCGGCCGAACTTGATCAAGGTTGATAGTATAATTTTTTTTTAATTTCAAATTCAATAATGATATCTTTCATTCATTAGGATCCCCTAATAAATGATCCCCCTTTTAGTTTCATAAATTCACTATTATTTGTATATAACGTATATGCTTATTGCTGCACTGTCGTTTAGTCCATACGAACTATAAAACTTTTATATTAAAAAAACATCCACGTTAAGTGACAGCTCTACGAGTTGAAAAAAATGTAAGTTTTTAATTTTTTGTTCGATATTAGTTATAAAGTCTATTGTAGCACCACCAAATTTTAATTCTGTAAAAGGATTTTTATTCCATTCAGTAAATTCAGAGATTTATATCGATCTGCAAAGTCCCGACAATTTGGACACTCCATCTCCTTAAGTAGATGTAATCAGAGATAAATATATTTTACACTGATATTTTATTGCGCTTTAATTATCATGGTGTTTACTTTTAGTTGTTTTGGTAAACAACATTATTGAATAAAATAATAAGTATTCATAGAAATAGCTGGAACTACTCAACAGAATAAATAATCCAAGTTATATATCAAAATTGAACTGGCTGTTAACGAAGATTTTTAGGCCTCACACTAAAAAAAAAAGATGTATATCACAATATTATTTTAATTAAAAATAATTATGTTAATTTATATACATATAATAACACCATTAATGAAATAAATACGTCAAGCTTTTGTTTTAAAAAAATTTCGTTTTATTATAATAATACTATTGTTAAAAAGAAAAATCATCAAGATTATTTTTAATTAAAATAATGTTGTTGATCCAATCGCTCTTCAACAATGATAACTCGATAAATTTATAATTCGCAGTTGCCTTTCGATGAATCGCTAAAGCAATGATAATGAAGCCACCGCACGCGAATTATGTATCATTCTAATTGATTCTAAGCACATAGGAGAGAAGCGAATATAAACCCTCTTCGAGGCTCAGAACGAATGAATATTCATCTTTAAAATCACCAAGGAATGTTTCCGGAGGGGTGTTCCACATCTGTCCTTGATAAATGAACCTCCGTCGCCGTCATGGCAGCCGCGTGTTGGAATTCATTTGTTGCTCTAATGGTAGGAAGCGCGAGTTGAAAACGATGAGCGGAATGACCAGCTTCAAAAATTTACGAGTTCGCCCCTCTTCCCTTCTTTGTAACGTCATAACATTTTAATGCCGAGAAAGATCGTTGGTTGCGCCATTGTAAAAGAAGCGTTTGGTACACTGGTTCCTATTATTAACTCTTTGAGTATTCATAGCGGTAAAGTTAATTGTGATAATTTATTCTTAGATTATTTCTTCTTATCAGAGCAATCTAGATATTCGCTTTCAAAAGCATTATTCTCATCAAATTTGAAAAAATTATCAAGAGATACTAGAATCTATTCCTAGATATCAAAAATATAATTCGCTCCTTTTAAAAAATACAGAATGGCACACAAAATGTTATTATTTAAAACAAACAGAAAGACAAAGGACTACGAGCCTAAAACAATTATCATAAAATAACAAAATTATTTTGAACAGTTAAAAAATAAAATAAAACATGTCATGAATGTAATTTGACCGTTAACAAGTAAACAACACACGTGTTAACACAAACGTTTCGATCCCTGTTGGATTATTTTCAATGTGACGCAAAAATAACAATGGAAATATTACATGGATAAGATATATAAAAATTAAAATTCGCTTTCGATCGCAGTATCAAATATAAAAAAATCTCTCTTTAAAATAAAATGAAAGTTATAATCGACAACAACGTATTCCTCCGGATTGTGTATGTAAAATAAGGACGAACATGTGTCTATTAGAAAGTACAAAATGTAATTATAAATTACGACAAGAATAAAAAATAAAAATAATAAGAGAAGTACAAAGCGAGTCGCAAATAATAAAAAGAAAAGTACAAAACGAGTCGCAAGTAATAAAAATAAAAAGGCAAAAAAACAATCTAATATTTTAAGACATGTACATTAGAGTCATTAATGCCGATAAAGAAAGTGTGAAGTACCGTCATACATTATATATATATATATATATATTAAATTTAGTCACAGATAAATTGAGAATAAATATCTTTTTTTGTGTGTCAAAATGATATGTTATCTATTAGGCAATGCGATGAGATTGAATGTGATCATCTCTCTAAGATGCAAGGTAACGTACACATATAAAGACAAGAAGGTTGAAATGGTAAACTAAAAAGAAAGAGGAGCATAAGAGGGAGAAAATAAAGTAGAGGGAAGAGAAAGTAGGGTGGAGAGAAGAAATGAATAGGAAAAGAATGCAGTTAAGAAGGAGAAAGAGATTGAATGATCTGTGAATAAATTTCAGGTAAAGATTCGGTATCATTTTATTTATTAAGACCTTGTTTTTGTCTTCTAATATAAATACCTTCATTTCAGACACCAATCTCTTGTTATACGAAGATTCGCAATCTAAAATTTTCACCTCGTTCCATTTAAAATTATGGTCAAAATTAATACGATGATCAGTTTATCTTATGACAATAGGAGAATCAGTATTCTTCCTAATATCAGAGATATGTTCGTGTAATCTCGTACTTAATTTTCTTTTTATCTGACATAACTCGCCTCACAGTCGTCACAGGAGATCTTATAAACTACATTCTAATTGGATATCAAGCTTATCTTTTCCTCTTTTTATAAAACTTTTTAATGTGTTAGGAATAAAAAAGACTAGTTTACAATGGAACATACTAGAGATAGGAAGGAAACTTTCGGAAATAGATTTAACATAAGGAAAATATCTGTCTTTCTCAC